TCTTCTTCTTGGTGAGCTTATTCATCCATCAAAATTTGATAATCCAACTTAGGACCCTTTCAAACACGAAAGCAGATTACATAATTTCTGGGGAAATACCGAGTCTTATTATTTGGTAAGCCTACTTAGTTGTGTACAATACACGCGACGACTATGAAAACGAGATATAATATTTCTATAATATATAGCATTGTATGTATTATTGGTAATAAACAATATATGTATATAGCTATGTTTTCAAAATCGGACCATTGAACCGGAAAAATTAGTAGTTTATAATTCACTGGTTAATTGTTACAAAATCGTTGATTAATCATTGATAGAACCGTTCATGATATATAACATACAAGACTTATATAATACACTAATTTAACAATGAATTTATCATTGACCATAAACAATTTTTTATTCGTATATCACCAAAATATCTAAAAACTCATTCAAACGGTCTCTAAGAAAAATCATAATTTTTTAATTAAGTTAAAAGTTACGGTGTCAGTCGATGGTGGACCGCCTAAAGTCGACAAGGCAAAAAAAATATAATTATAAATTGACAACGAGGTTGGAAAATGTGAAGAAGAAGTAGAAATATAATTATTAATTTTGGTTTAATGATTTTAGTTTATGTTACAGTATATATTTTCCTAAAAAATTTGTAATAAAATTAGTGAACTAGTGGACCAATTGAACCATGATGGTTCATCTGATTTTATGTTGAACCGTGAAAAACCACTTGATCCATCAATAGTCATCCAACTAATGAACCGGACTGTTATCACAACTTCTACTAGCCCACCTATTATTTCCACTACAGGAAAAAGATCATTTAATCATGGTAAATCCCGTGTTTGAAAGTGTGTTTCCCGTGTTTAAAAGTTTCAGTCACGGGAAAATTACCGTAATATTTACCTCCGTGTCTAATTGTAAAGGTCACGGGAAACTCGTACCATGACTAGTTATAACTAGTCACGGTATAATATACAGTGATAATTTGTATCTATTAATCACGGGGAGCACCGTGATTATACCAAATGTAGCCACACAAAACCAAGAAAAAACTCATTTAAAGACGGGATATACACTTTTTAACACGATATTTACCATGATAATATCTTTTACCGTGACTAGATGTGAATCATTAGTCATGGTATTTGATTGGCTTTCCCGTGTCTAGATACTAACAATTGGTCACAGTATTTTATTATGCCTAATTATCAATCACTAACCACAATATTTTTCCATCATACATAAAATTTCATATATTAACATACAATTGAAATGACCAACTCTTATAGTATGAAACCCTAACATAATTAGTAATACAATCAAATATCATTTATTGATCATCTTAATTAAAATATAATTGAAAAGACTAATTACAATAGCATGAAATTCTAACATAATGAAATCAATTGCATATCCAATCAGTCTGATCAAATCAACTAAAGTTATCCTAATTTTTGGTCTATGCTTCTATAAGACATTCTTGAGTAGCTGCAACATTTCTCCAACTCCCAAATCTTCAAGTCTTTCTCATCCTGACAAATCAAAGTAAGAAACTTAAAATAAGATCCTATGTATTTGAAACATAGACAATTTGAAATTGAACCCTAGCTCCTCACTCCATAATTAAATCCTCATGCTTGCATCCCTGCCTAAAACCAAGCCACCAATTTCACCATAAACAAAGCAGCAGCAAGAAATGACTAACCGATCCAAATATCTTAAAAGTCTTGGAAGACTAGAGTAATACATGCCACAGCCATCCGGAATCTAGGAGAGACCGCAACTTGCATGTAGCGCATAAGTATCATCAACTATTACCTAGGTTCTAGAAACAATGTCAGCTGGCAACTCTAACTTCATTACCCTGTTCTTCCAGCTAATCACAAGGAACCTACCATACCAGATGCAATACTCTTTATTGCTTTTGAACCAACAAGCTATTTGGTTGGTAATCAAACAAAGGTATGAAAGTGTCCATCCCCCGACTCAACTCCTATGTTCAATATGCAAGAGAAGTTCAAAAAAAAAATACAAGAAACTAATACAGGACTGAAAAAAATCCTGAATAATATGTGATAAAATTGCAGCACGCACATCTAAAATCGAAGATACATCGATAAAACCTTGCTATTTGATCAGTGCAGCAGCGACTTCCTGGAGAATTCAAGTCCCCTGTCCTGTCGAAGACCATTGTTGCACTGAGAAGTGAAGGCTCACTGCAAAAGATAGTAGTAGTCTATCTAATAAGAAGCAATCACCAAAGTAGTTAAGCAGCAAGTGAGAGAGAGGCCTTTCAAGAAAATCTGATTTTCAAAGCATCTAGTAAAAAGTTGCAACCTGACATAAACAAAGAAAGATTATAAGTGATGGAAAGATATAGGCATTTTCCCAGTCACACTAGTGTTGAGGAAACTGCAGGAATAGAGTGAAGGAGCTCCTGTTGCAAACGATCCTTACAAAAAAAAAGTTTAGATACCATTATAATCATAAGAGATATGATTAAAAATCACAAATCAAAAAAGTAGAGAAAGCTCGTATGGAATTGATTCTACAAGGACCAAGAATCCATAAGAGAAATTCATCGTCTTCACATAAATACACTCATCATGGAAGCATAAAAAGATGAAGAAAACAATCTTAAGCGTATGTCATCTACCTTGACGATGCATTATAAATTGATTAAACATGAGTGCAAGGTATTCCCATCATACATCATCATTATCACATTGCAAATGCATTTAAGAATATAGTTCAAATGGATTCTTGAAAGCAACATGTTGATAGCTTATAAGAGCATAATAAGACTTACGAGTATAATATTTATATATCCAACTCCTTTTGATCTCCTTGAGTTCCTGTCCACTATCAATGTAACATCCCTCCCCTAAAAATTTAAGGACATAAATGGTTGATGATGATAAAGATATGATGACCGACTAATGAGATCCATTTGAGCTAGCTAGTGAGATCTATCTATATGTTCATTTACTGTTATACCATACTTGAACTAGGCCTCCCACCTTGTGGGCAATTATACATAACACTAAAGATTTAGAGTTACAAAAACATGTATCAATCTTTGTGTGTACAACTATATACCTACTCTGCTCATTCACTTTCAAACTCTTTTTCATCTTTGTTCAGTGACATGTCAGTGGCCCTTACAAGCTACTTCGCCTAGTCTGCCAAAAATCAAATACCAGGATCAGCTATTACAAGTACCATACAAAAGTACAGATAGAAATGAACCCATGTAACTAACTAATTATATGGAAATAAAAGGAACAGTTCCAGAACACTAACATATGGACACATTCTGAGATGAATTTGAAAGACTTAAGAAGCAACCTCTTCTCGCAATTGCTTCTTTGGAATTGCTAGTGAATCTTTCTCCTGCATGTGAACGAGTAAGTAAGTCCATCTTCATCGACTGGACTGAATCTGTGATAGAGGATATCGAACCAGATCGAAAGAGATGCAATGCAATCAGAAAGAAGCAAACAACGGGTTGCTGGATAGGACACTACAAATAGAGGAATGGAAAAAGTGACCATGAAACCACAGATTCTTTACCACTGAAGAATGCCGGGAAATAATCAATAGACAAAGAGCACAACCCAAAAACACTGAAGGGAAACAAATCAACAATAAACTATATCCAACCATCGTAGCACCAAAAACACTTACATAGCGATAGAATGCAAACTGAAAACTAAACAAGAACACCCAGAAACGTCCCTCAAAGTTCATAATCTAGATGCATGCTAAAAGCAAGTAAACCAATGAAATTGAAAAAGTGGATCAACAATAGAAAAAAAATCACCAAAAAACGCTAAAACTATGGATTAATTCCAAAACCCAGATTCACAACCGTGTAAACCCCTAAGTTGACAACCCTAATCCCAAATCAAACGTGGAGATCACTGTTAAATACATCTCAGAACCATCCCACAGTCTACATCGACCCCTGTCGATTAGGAGATGTCGTCGGGTTGGGCAAGAAGAGAGGTAGAGTGGTGTGGCATGGCAGCTGGGGCCAGCGGTGCTAGATCTGGAATTTGCAACAGTGACAAGCATTAGGAGGTAGGAAGAGAGAACTCTGGGAAGAATACAAGGACTTGAGTTAAGGCGGTGGTTGAGGAGCTACACGGATGCAGAATTTGCATCGAGTCTGGAGGTTGCTAGCTGCGACGGTGAGGAGGAATGAGAGGTGGGGGTTACGAGAGTTGCTGGGCAAGGATGGTGAGTGGCGGGCGTATCCCATCTTCTTGGTGGGAAAAGCAGATATTGAGATTTGAGATGAGGGGGGGAAGTAGGGAGCAGAGGTGGAAAAGTGGGAAAGAAGGCCTTTTGAGGATTGGGGGGAAAGTTTTCACAATTGGAGGGAAATAATTGAAGGGGTTCAGATTGGGTTCAGAAAAGAGGGGGAAAATTTTCCGCCAAAATTTTGGTATACGAATAGTCACGGTAACCAGAGTTAGAAGTTGGGAAAAATAAATCCCATGACTAGATAGATGTAATTAGTTACTGATATTTTTCCCGTACTTAGTGGTATGGTTTTTAATACGGGAAAAATTCCCGTGAATAAGTTACCGTGATCAAATGTCGGTTTTTCTGTAGTGTTCGGTTCGGTTCTTAAATAGTTACATTCAACCTAGTAGGGGTGGCTATACGGTCCGGTCCGGTTAAATTGGCCCAAATTGATCCGGTCCAGTCCGGGTTTTTTTTAGAATATAAGGACCGAAGATTGGATTGGATACAGTCCGGTCTTGATCCGGTCCCAATTCGGTCTTGATTTTATATTGAGATTGTTGGAATTTGAGTGGTCTAAGGCCTAAAAGGGTGAGGAGTTGGTTAAGTTTTGTACTAAGCGTAAAGGTTTGTGACCGTTTATGCAAATTACCTAAAGGCTCGCCCTGTTCAGTATTTATAGACCTAGTCCCATGCATCAGATTCCTTCATCCCTTCCTAGCTAGCTAGCTCCAATTGCTGAGATGGGGAGATCAGTGTTGATGAAGGTTCCTTTCCTGTATCTGATATTCGCAGTCTTAGTAGCCTCAATACTACTCCACATCTCACCCACAAGCGCCCAAAACTCTCCTGGAGACTTCCTCGCAGCTCACAACAAAGCACGCCGAGCAGTCGGGGTGGGACGCATGAGGTGGAACAACAAGGTGGCCAAATACGCTCGCGACTACGGAAACAAAATCAAGGGCGGATGCGACTTCAAGCACTCCGGCGGACCCTACGGTGAGAACCTTGCTTTTGGCAGGCCCGATATCACGGGCACCAGATCCGTGCAGCTGTGGGTGGACGAGAAGAAAAAGTACAACTGCAAGAAGAACGAATGCATCGGCGGTTTCGAGGAGTGCGGCCACTACACCCAGCTTGTTTGGAGCAGATCTGTAAGGCTAGGTTGCGCCAGGGTCGTATGCAATGGTAACAAGGGTACCATTGTTATCTGCAACTATGATCCTCCAGGGAATGTCAGGGGCCAGCGCCCTTACAAGTGCCCCAACATTCTTGCCAACTCCTTGGACAAGTTTCTTCACTACAACGAGTAAAAGCTGTAATGGGGTGGGTTATGCCATCTATCTATCTGTCTATCTATGTAATGGTGAGTATTATAACTACCTAAGTACGTACGTACTTGATACGTGTTGGATTTCAGTACAGGGGTGGATCCAGGGAGATTTAGGGGTGTCAAAACACACTAAAATCTTGGAGAAAATTTATCGAACTCCCGATAGTAGTTTGAGCCTAGAAAAAAAAATTGGCTTATGGGATTTGAACCAAGACACCCTAGTTATTATTAGTTAACATGTTTTCCATTAAACTACAACTCATACCATGTTATAATTTTAAGATACTTATAAAAATATCAATTGTATCCCCAATTTGACAACAAAATCCTAAAATTAAACACGACTCAGATCCAACTTCGCAAAAAAGGAGACCCTACTTCGATCAAGCTTCAATCCAACAACGCTGAGCCACGATCCTCCTTGCCCTCTCCGTACGGCCTCGCCCCCCACTCTCTGAACTCGCCCTCCTCCGTCGGCCTCGTCAATTAAGAGATTTCTAGGAAAATTGGTAGGAGAAAACAGAACACTCAAAAGCTACTAGGTCTGCCATTTTTGTTTATATAGTTGGCGGCTAATTCAAATTGGCCTCTTAGTCCACATGTCCTTACACGATAGATGAAATTAAACTTAAACATGGTTTAACAAAAGATAACTGAAAGTGAAGTAAAACGACATAGTTTTCCCTCAACAAAAAGAACCGGTTATATAAAATGAAACGCTTGTGAAACATTTACAGCCTTCAGCCCTGGAATCCGCAATGCCTGGATTTCTTCCTTCTGCATCTTCTACCATGCTGGACAGTCAATCTTGTTGACATCAACCTCTGTCATCCTTGTCCTTGTTCGTCGGCCACGCCCGCACTCGCCCTCCTCTGTCCGGCCTTGGCCTCGTCTCTTCCTCCTCCATTTCAGCCGCTGCAACTTCCCCTGACCAGGTAAGCTTGAACTTCCTACTTTCCCTAGCGAGGAGGCCATTACTTCTTCAAAGCCTTAATGTTCTTGGAGGAGACAAGTTCAAGTGCAATTATTGAGCAGAAACCATGAAAACATTAATTACCCCTGCTGCCATATACAAAAATTGATCTTTCAATTGTTAGTTCCAGTTGTTAAGCAGCAGTAGGTTACTAGGTTGTGTGAATTCCAATTGTCAATTGGGAGAAGTTGAGATTATGGGTGAAACCGCAATAGTTTGTGTGAATTCCAATTGCTAATTTGGGGAAGTTGGACTTGTGGGTGGGGAAAGCAACAGTTGTTTTACTGTGGAATTCCAAGTCTAATTTTATGCACATTCTATGCTGGATCAGGTACCAATGAAAAGATTCTACCCAAGATAGGTCAAATTACTCCTCAAACCTTTGAAGCAAGTGGAAGTAGACAAGCTCAAACCTTTCCTCCGTTGTCGAAAGTGGGAGCTCCGAAAATACAAGAACCAAATCTTTCAATTTCAGTCAATCAAACTCTAGAAGAAAGTGAGTCTTTCTTAGCAGAGTCTGTTAGAAACCTAGTTTCTAACTATTTCAGAGATTGGATTCATTTGTCGGTTTACAATTATTTTGGGGATCTAGGGTGTTATTTGTGGATATTTTTGGATTATTGGGGTGTTATCGGTTATTTTGAAACTATCGGGTAGTTATTGGAAATTTATCGGGTTATATATTCTGTAATCGTGGGATTAGTAGGGAAAGCAATTACAGAACAAGAACTTCCCTAACCTTCTCTATCTCTCTCTCTCTCTCTCTCTACTCGGCAAACTTCTCCCTCTCTTCTCCCCTTACTGTCGCCGATTCCCCTACCCTAGGGAGGTTGGTTTTCTTCTTCTTCTCTCCAATTTTCCCCTCTTGCAAACCCAATTCTCATACTTCTAATCCCTAAATACCAAACATCCCATTACTATCTATTGATCTTCGGATTAGCGAACCCCCAACGTGCACGCCTAGATCAAGATTTCTAACAGTGGTATCAAAGCCTGGCTGGAGCGTGCAGGTTCAAGCGAGATCATACGAGATGGCTTCCACAGTAGAAAAGACGCAGAAGATGCAAAAGGAGACCGTGATCGTGAAGGATCACACCATGCATGAGACGTTACTGGGTTTCATGAACAAGATTGCGGATAACTAGATGGAGGCTCGCGAACAGCTACAGACGCTTGGAGCGTGCATCGAGGATTCCACCCAACGCATCGGGGCAGAGTTGGCTAAGTTTCTTGCCATGATGGAGAAGATGGTGGAGAAGAAGACTGAGGAGACGCGGCTCTGTCGGCGGCGGGATAGTGGCGGCGAGCGGAGCAAAGGCCGCGTTGGAGCTAGGCACCGAGGAAGGCTAGGGGGCGGTGGCGGGAAACCCTAGCTGCGTGGGCCAAGGAAACACCGGGTCTATCCTAGGGGCGGGTCTGCCGCTTAAGCCCACAGCCCAATAAATCACGACGGCCCGCGGCAAGGGAAAGACGGTCGGTTACGAAGAGGCGACATACGAGTATGGGGAGAGCCCTGAGGGTTCCGGTGGGGTGGCCATGGACCAGGAGGGTGGATGGGCCATCTGAGTCCAAATCATGATCGACAGGAAGAGGAGATGAGCCTGGTAGGCTACGGCGAGAGTTGAGGCAACCTTAGGTCGCTTGGACTTGGAATGGGCTAGATCGCGAGCCCGAACCAGGACGGGTTGCTGGGGCTAGCTCCGATCAGTCTGACCAGACTGGTTAGATCGCAACTAAACTAATTCGGACCATTTTGAACTAGTCAAACTGACTCATACCAGTTTGCATCGAACTGGACCCCGACGGGCAATAACCGTGGAGGACGGTCGGGAACTGGGGGAGGTCACTAGAGGGGTTCGAACCCCCATACCCACCTCTCGTGAATTTTGGGACAAGACAGGGTGGAATTGGGCGAATCCTAGAGGTCGGGCAAGGATCGTAGCTCAAATCTGGAGGACATGACGAACACCCAGAGGGGAACGACGGCTGGTCATTTCCTCAGCCTTCATGGTGGGACGCGGCGCTAGTGGCGTTCAAGGATTCCCTCACTCTGGCATGGACAGGTATGGAGGGTATAATCCCATCAATGAAGTTAATGATGAGTTTGTCTTTAGAGTTAAACCGCATGTAATTGAGTTTCCTAAGTTCGATGGTCATGAAGATGTGGGCTTATGGTTGTATTCGGCGGAGAGGTGGTTTCAAAACCACTCAACACGGGAAGAGCGCAAGGCCACCCTGACATCCTTTTATCTAAAAAGGGATGCGCTGCACTGGTGGAAATGGATGGAGCGGTCACATGCTACAGCAGGGACTATGATCACGTGGGTCAAGTTTCAACATGAGCTTAGTAACCAGTTCGACAAGGCCAAGGGGTGGGCACCTGGGCAGCAGGCCAAGCTAAAATAGATGGGCACGGTTTCGGAGTATCGATTGAAGTTCCTAAAGCTGGGTAACCAGTGCAAATAAATGAGAGAAGAGATGTTAGTGGGATTATGCATGGCAGGGCCTACAAGCGGAGCAGGCAGTAGCGGTCTAGTTTTTCAACCCGACTCTTTGCGAGTGGTTTTCAGGCTTGCAGGTCATAAGGAGGAGGAACTATCTAGCTGGAAGGGAGGCTCTAGGCGCGTGACGCGAATAGCGTGAGGAACGAGTGGAGGCACGAATTTCGGAGTTGTGATTGCGTCAACATTGGGATTGACGAACCCGATGAGCACAAGCTTTCCACCTGGAGGTCATGTACCGGCTTGCTTGTCGCTAAAGGGTTTCGCGAGGCTGACCCTAGAAGAGATGGAGAAAAAACGCAGGGTGGGGCGCTGCTTCAACTGGGATGAGAGGTATACGGTGGGTAAGCAGTGTGCTAAGGGGCATTTGATGTTGCTAGTGGGCAACTGGGAGGATGAAGCAGAGGAGCTGGCAGCTGGAGGTACCCAGGAAGAGAAGGATGTCAAAAAGAGCGAAGGCCAATCTTGAGGGCAAGATTGGTCTTAAGGGGGATGGATTGCTAGAAACCTGGTTTATAACTATTTCAGCGTTTGGACTCATTTATCGGTTTATTATTATTTTGGGGATCTGGGTGATATTTGTGGGTATTTTCGGATTATTGGGGTGTTACCAGTTATTTGGAAACTATCGGGTAGTTATTGAAAATTTATCGGGTTATATATTCTGTAATCGTGGGATTAGTAGGGTAAGCAATTACAGAACAAGAACTTCCCTAACAATCTCTATATCTCTCTCTACTCGGCAACCTTCTCCCTCTCTAGTCCCCTTACTACCGCTGATTCCCCTACCCTAGGGAGGTTGGTTTTATTCTTCTTCTCTCCAATTTTCCCCTCTTGCAAACCTAAGTCTCATACTTCTAATCCCTAAATACCAAACAACCCATTACTATCTATTGACCGCTGGATTAGCGAACTCCTGACGTGCACGGCTAACAACCCATTACTTCTAATTTTCCCCTCTTGCAAACCCCGCTGTAACAATTGTTTCGGGGACGACCGCGAAAAACTAATATTCATGTTTTCTTGCTTTTGAGGACAATTTAACCAATTGGTCCCCAATTCCACTACAATTGGGTTTTCCGGAGACGAGTACAAAGAGTTGTCCTTTATCTTTGTCCCTATATCTCCTTAATTTTGTAGTGCATCCAAATGCGCACGCTTGCTGCTGAACGTAGAAAAAGAAAGGATTTGGAGCGGCGTTCACTGCAACAGCCTGAACGTAGGTAAGGATTCCTCGAGTTTCGCCGGAGGGTGGCACTAGCTGTCGGCTGGATGGCAGGACAAAGGATTTTCCAAAGATGCTCTCGCTGCTGCTGCAAACTGCGGCTTGTCGCCGATAATAACGAATTAGGAAGTGGGTTTTCTTTACGCTGGATTTGAAGGGGGAGGATTAGTTTTATAAATTATAAATGCCCGAGAATTTCATGTGGAGAGGCCGAATAATATTTAGGGGTAATTGGGACATTTTCCAGCCCAATTAACGGTGAGAAAATAGATTTTTTAACG